CCCTAAATTATAGGTCCAGAGGCAACCTTAAACCTGTCTTTAGTACATTTGAATCATAAACAATTAAATTTAAGGCAATTTAGCCAGACTATTAAAATGGTACCAACATCCGTTATTTTAAGTGTAGGCCAAGATATTAAAAATCTTGTTCCCTAGCCCAACTCCACAAAATGGGCCCAGCTCATAAAATAACCTATTCCCTTATCATTTATCTTCAATATGGTTAAACTCGGCTGTATTGAAAAAATAAAGAAATAGTGAAGCTTTTAATTCTTCAAATTTATTTCAATTGTTAATTTCGTCCTTCAAACATAATTTTTATCAATTCGATTCATCACATATTTCAAAATTATCATGTTAATCCCTTATATTTTAAAACGTATTTTAAAACACAAATTTAATCTCAAATTAATATAACATGTAAAGTATTTTGATGACTTGACATATATATATATATATATATGTAATTGAATGAGAATAAATTAACTCTCATATTTGTTTAATTTTAGAGTTAATATGTAATTTGGACCATGAATTATAGGTTTAAGGATAATTTGAACTCTATGCTCATAATTGGTACATTTTGGACCTTAAATAATTAAATTTGGGGCATCCTCACCTCCACCGTTAATTGGTCCTAACATTCATTAATAAAATCCTTGCCACCTAGATTTTATTAAGGGTTAAATGGAAATTTAAACCCTAAACTATAGGTCTAAAGGCAATTTAAACCTTAAACTCATCTTTGATACATTTTAAATTATAAATAATTAAATTTGAGGCAATTTGATCAGACTATTAAAATGGTACAAACATCCATTACTTTAAGTATAGGCCAAGACAGGTGGCATTGGATTTTTTCTCTTTGTGTGTCTTTGCCTTTTTACATTCTTAGGTGGCATCTCCCTCTTCTTCTACTATGAGACTTTTTTGCAGAAATTCCTCCCCCACAACAACCTCATGGATGAATCCTCCAACAATAATCTTGATCTATACTCCTCTAAACATTTTTGAATGTACAAGTTCAAGGTCCTCTGGTGTCGTCGTCACTGAAGAAGAAACTTATAGTCATCTAGTACGTGCCAAACAACATCGCTTTGATCATGATCAATCAACCTAGTCCTTTAAACTCGTTGCCCAAGTTAATGATAGTTGACCTTTCCCAAGCATTCAAGAGGCTAGATAAGAATGATTTGGTATGAATATACATATTAACTAGCTTAGGTTGAACCTTCTATTTAGGCATGAAATTACAATGAAAAATGTCTTCAAGGGTGATGTTAGAGGGTTTATAGTGATGGCCAGATTTGAGATTGCACTAGCTTGTTACATTTTGATTTCTTTAAAAAGAGTCAAGTTCATATATATCCATGTAAATCTCATTTATAATTTATTTTCTTTTAATTTAATAAATTATAGATTGATTTATACCCTGGTGATTTGGATTCACATGTGTTTGTGCTAATTTTAATTTAATTTGTTTTGGAGTCTACTATCATATATATACACTTCTAACTAACCTTATGGATTTCATGATTTGTGTAACAGCCCTCCTGGGTCACCACTGCCTCTCCAGGGTCTTTTCCCAGGCGCTGGACAACACACATGTCACCACATGATTGCCGGCTTTCCCACTGGTGGTACAATGGTTATTCCTCACCCCACCTTCACGAGGGTCTTTTGGAACCTCCCCAGACTCGAACCTCCAACCTCTACCACCTTAACGAAGTTGAGGCGAAGTCTGGTACCATTGAGTCACTTGACTCAATGGTACCAGACTTCGCCTCAACTTCGTTAAGGTGGTAGAGGTTGGAGGTTCGAGTCTGGGAAGGTTCCAAAAGACCCTGGAGAGGCAGTGGTGAGGAATAACCAGTGACTCAATGGTACCAGACTTAGCCTCAACTTTGTTAAGGTGGTAGAGGTTGGAGGTTCGAGTCTGGGGAGGTTCCAAAAGACCCTGGAGAGGCAGTGGTGAGGAATAACCACAGTACCACCTGTGGGAAAGTTGGCTTTGGTCCAGTGATGGGCCAGAGTCCAGTACCGAGTCGAGGCCCAAGGGGTGGCTCCGTACTGTTACAATTTGCCATTAGCTATCAACAAAAAGTAGGATAAGGGCAGAAATGCTATCAAAAATAAAGAAGCATGAGCCCCATTATGCTTGAAGCAAATGAATGTTAATTTTAAATTAACAGTGGTAGCGAGATTGCTTTAAATTTAATTATTGAGAGTTCAAACTATACTAAATACAAGTTCAAGATTGAAATCACCTCTGGGCCTATAGTTTAAGGTCTAAATTGCCATTCAATCCTTTTATTAACAAATGTTAGGACAAAATTAACGGTAGAGGCAAGAATACCTTAAATTTGATTGTTTAGGTTCCAAAATGTACCGATTACAAGTATAGGTTTCAATTCATCCATGAACTTATACTTCAAAATTTAAATTGCAAATTAAGCCTTAATTTTATATTAATCTAGTCATGTTACATTTTTGTTCTTTTGTTTATTAAAATTTATAGGTTTGTTTATTTTTCTATCCAAATAATTATACTTGTTTTTACTAATCTGCATGGCTATCATCAATATTTCATTATACATGTCAGCACATTTTAACAATATTACTTTATATTTAAATAATAAGGACCAAATCAGTAACTAAGGCAAATTTAAGGGATCAAGTGAAGAAAAATTAAATTTGAGACACCAAATGATAATCTAGGCAAACTTAAGGACTAAAAGTTTCATTATCCTTTTTTATTATGAGTTAATATGCAATTTAGACCATGAATTATAAGTCCAGGGGCTATTTAGACCCTAAACTTATAATTGATGCATGTTGAATCTTAGATAACTAAATTTGGGATAATCCAACTTCTACCATTAATTTTAATCTAATGCTTGTTACTTTTAAATAATAGGCCCAATATAACTCTCTTTCTTCCCCATCTTTAGTTCACTACTCTCCCAAATGGCATGTCTTCTCCCTCCACTCTCTCTCTTTTTGTCCAAGCTTTGCTTCTTTCTTTTTGAACTCCATGAATTCCTAGCTCGACATGATGCTATGGATAAGTCTTTGAGAACTTGCTTAATGGAGGTTCTGGTTTCCTCAGCTGCTTCTGGGGCTATTTTTCTTGATCCTTTTCAAGAAATTTGTTACAGTGCTCTTCTGCTTGTCTAACGTAGATGTTGCTCGTTCTTATTCTCTTCCTGCTTTGCTTTTGTTATCTAATTTAGGAGGGCTTGCTTTCCTAAACAAAGTTCTATTATCATTTTTTATTATCAATAGAGTATAATAATATGCTATTGACCCCTCTCAAATTTTTTTATCTAATTTTGCTTTTAGTCTTGTAGTTTTTTTTTTCAATTGTCTTTAATCCTTACAGGGGTTAAAAATATTGAAACTATAAGGACTTAAAGAACTAATGTCATATAATATTACTAAAACTACAAGGATTGAAAATATACTACAAGGGTTAAAAGCAAAAATCAATGAAATTATAGAGACCGATGATTGTGTCTTCTTTTTTCTTAATGTATAGATAATACTCTTTCAAATTTTTAGTCATCCATAAATAATCTCTTAAACTCTTTTTGCCAAAATCTCTTGAACTTTAAGTGGTATGCAAGTAGTCATATTATATTATTTTAATTAAATAACAAATAAATTAATGACGTGAAATTATTTGCATAAATATAAACATTTAAGGGATTTATTGTAAAATTTTAAAAATTAAAGAAATTACCTGCATGTAATCCAAACTTCAAGCGAGGATATACAATTTAAACTTTAAGGGCTCGTTTAAGTAACTCACAAAAACACATTCAAATTCAAACTACATTTAAAATGTGTTTTTACCAAATTTAATAAATAATTGAATCCTCCAAATGAATTTTTGTCAAATGTAAAATAAAAACCAAACACACACTAAGTGGTATGCAAATAATCAAATAGAGAGAGAGTACTGTATTATTATACATAAATATATGGGAGAATTGCATTGCAGGCTGCTAAAAGACAAAAAATTATGGTGTGAGCCCTAAAAAGTCTAAAAATGCACTGCAGGCCCAAAGACACCTATTGCAATTTTTCTTAAGAGCAAAAACATAATTTTACCCTTGTATAATTTGAAAACTCAGGTTTTATGCCAAATCCTCATCCACGAAGCACAATACAATATTCATAAATTCTTAACACGATGCCATGTGTATCTAATTAATATGTAGGTTAATTAAAATATAAGTCATACAAAGCATGTACAACACAATGTACATGGATGCATAATAAAATGTTTATAAATTTTCAATACAATTAAAATAGTCATGTAGGGCATATACAGTATAATGCCCATGGGTACACAATACGACATTCATGTATTCTTAACATGATGTCCATTAAGTGTCTAATTGATATGTAGGTTAATTAAAACATAAATCACACAGAGCATGTACTAACACAATGTACATGGATGCACAATACGATATTCATGAATTCTTCCACAATTAAAATAGTCATGTAGAGCATGTACAATACAATGTCTATGAGTGCACAATACGATATTCATATATTCTCGACGCAATATCAATTAGTGTCTAGTTGATCTATAGGTTAATTAAATTAGTCACGCAGAGTATGTACAATACAATGTTCATGAATGCAAAATATGATATTCATGAATTCTCAATACAATATTCATGAATTTTTAATACCAAGTTCATGTGTGTCTAATTGATCAATATATTTAATAAAATGTACAAGTTATGTAAATAATGTGCAACACAATGTCCACGTATGCACAATACAATATTTATAAATTCTCAATTGAATATCTATGCGTGTCAAGTTAATTAAGGGAAAAAGTGTACTTTTTTCTTTAAGAAAGATTGTAACAAGAATCCTTGAGTCTACCTGCGGTGCATTTTTAGAATTTTTTTTAGCCTGGAGCAATTTTTTTTTTCTTTTTTAGGGCTGGAGTGTGATTCTCGCAAAATATATTATACATGGTCCCTTGCGATTGGGGACATCGGATAAAATTAAAACAATATACAGTAGATTAGCATGGCCCAACGCGAAGATGAGACGCAAAAACCGAGAAAAGATACTATAAATGAAAACTTGGAAGCATTAATTTAGTGTACAAAAATATGCGAAAACCAAAACCGATGGGATGACATGTCAGGTGGTAATTGGTCTTGCTAGTCAGTTCGCCAGGTCAGCAACCATCCTTCTCACTGCTTCTGTAAGGGCAGCCTCATCCCATTCGCTCCCCTGCAAACGCATCATTTTGATTTTTGAGACGGAACTCCATCAATAAATTAAGCAGAAAAAAAAGTCATCACTCATATATATGTTATTATGGTTTTCTTTGCCAGACATCACATATGTTACTTTTTCTATTTTTCAGCATGTTTTAAATCCCTAAAAATCAGATAAAATTAAAACTCAATTAGAAAGCCATAATAAATATGACTGCTAAGTAGTATAATTATATACAGTATATTGTAACTAATGAGCTCCCTGATCTTGCCTTTTTTTTTTGGGAGGGGGGAAGGGCTCCATGCTATTTAGTAATTATCTCAAATTTTAATTTTATCATGACCTTATTTTTCTTTATTTTTAATTTTTTTCTATTCTGTCATTGTTTTTAACTAACTTTGAAAGCGAACATAAAGATCATCATGATTCATGACCAGTATATGTGAATATCAGGCCAAATAAATTTATACCATACATATGTCTGTGTGTAGGTAAATAACAAACTCAATTATTTAAAAACATTTAATTTATAGTATAAGATCTTAAATTTCAAAACCATTTTTAAAAATTAAAAAATGAAAAATAAATTAATTCAAAGTCTTTTTATCTAAAACATACAATAAATTACACTCTTACAGGATTATTGAATTGAAGCATATAGACAAGGGAACGTTGCTAACCCGCCGGAACCAAATTATTGTTTAAGGCAAATTCATAACATACTAATCAATTATATATTTTAAAAATTAAATGTTTATACAACTATATCATTATTTTTCAATAAAAACATGAAAATAATATGACTTTAATAATAATGTGATTTGCATATACAATGTTATATAATTGTGTGATTCTTCATCTGAATTATATATATATATATATATATATGTCATGTGTATGTCATCCTGTTATTTACAAATCATGTGCCTATTATATTCTGATATAATAGCACAAATTTTTTGAATATATAACAAGTATGTCAAAATTTGAACATGTTGCTGCTTGCTACTAATTTCAATAAAAAAAAAATCTACTACCTCATACTACATATGTCAAGTATTAATCAACTCAGTTTAGCATGAATGATATAATGAAAGCTCTCATCTTTCAATTAAACAAGTGACCAAGGGTTTATTTGTTTATTTATAGAGTAAAATGGGGTATATATCATTACTCAATGCAGGATTACAAAACAGCACCGTTGAACATTATATGGGGGATTTATTTATTTGTGTAGACTACTCGTTATATCGATTTTCATCAAAACAAAATGAAGATTAGTTGTAACATATACAATTCAATTAGGAGACTCTTTCTTTTAGAATAGCAGCTGAAATAGAGTGTATCAAATTAAAACAAATTTTGCAACACACTTTACACACCCACACACACACACATTATCTAATTCCTATCTGTATGTTGCACGATATATTACTCAAAGCTTTTTTCCAGCACGTGACAACTTTCGACAAGAAATCAACGTGGTTCAAATTCTTAATTGGTGGCTGCCAGGGGGGGTAACCAGGATTGAAATGGGAGGGGGCCAGATTTAAATAAAATTTTTTACATGCTATTGATAATTTTATTAAATACTTACATTGTATGAAAAATATCGGAAAAATCATTTGAAATTATTTAATATTTTAAGAAATGAAAAGATATTTAAAGTCAAGTCAAATATTTTTTATACATATGATAAAACTCTAAAAAAAACTATATACTTGACCTACTGAAACTAATATTAACCAATACTATTTACAAAGTAAATAATGAAAATGCATTTATTTAAATACTTACTCAATTTTTGTAAAGATAATTTATTCAAGAAAAATGTTTTTAAACAACATACTAAAAAAATAATATATACAATATAAATATTAAGTTTCACTCTTTTTAATATTCATCTCGCACTAATAATAAAAATATTTTTATAAACAAATATAGTAGAAAAATATACTTTATTTTGAATTAATAAATATATATTTTTTGCTGGGTAACAGTGGGAAGGGAGGCTGCTGAAACAAGACACCTTCAACATATATGTGGGCCCGCCGTCGGTGGCTGCCAAAAATGTATGGAACCTTCTTGTTGAATATGGGATCGTTGAATATATCCTCAGAAAATGTGGCATGCCGCAGCCCACCAAGCTATCATTGCAGTTGCTAGGATCCTTCCTATTAACCTTATAACTATCTACACAAATCATTAAGTTGGTTCTGAATCTATGAAAATACGAATTAATTGCTCTCTCTGGACTCAAATATAAGACACGTGAGAGAATTTGTTTAAACCAAGATATAAAACGCTATTCTTTTTTGTCTTAAGCATTTTCTATTTTTACTCCTAGCCACACAATATTCTTCTGCAAAACCAAAGCAACCTTTGTCCTAGTACAAATTTAATGAGTAAAATTCATTTAATTTATATTATTTCCTAATACATATGTGTAAGTATGAACTCTGAATACAGGAGCACAAAATCTACCCATACATAGATAACCTCATTTGGCACTAATTAATTACCACTTGGGTTTAAGCTTGCAACTTACGTGGTAATTAATTAAATGCCTACACAACTTAATTGTTTTTTTTTGTTTTAAAAATAAAAGTGTTATACATACATACACACGTACATATGTCCTTAGCAACGACTTAAGGTGCATATAGTAGCATGGCCATGTGTGAAGTTTGGCCAATTCTCATCAAGCCAATACGTACGCACAGAAAGGAAATTAAATTTTCTATGCGTACAGACCACTATATTAATTAGTGAGGCAATATCATAGAACCCTAAGAAAGAGGTAAGATAGACATGGCTCAAAACTTGTACCTACTCAACTGTCAGTAGAGTTCGGGATTCATATTACGTACCTCTATCTTCAGTCTCAAAGTTGCTTCATTAATGGCGGTTCCTTGTTGTGCTATGCGTGTGTTAGCGTCCACAGAAACTAAACTCACTCTCTGAACACTTTTCAAGAATTCCAATAGGCGAATCAATATATCGACCTGAGAATTGCGTTGTCCTCTCACAGTCACTTGCAGGTCGATGAATCTTTCCTCTGATAAGCTCGATCTCGGTACATCAGAAACTCGCACAATCAATCTTTCAACAGAGGGACTGGTATTCGTTTCTTGACCTTTTAATAATTGCTTTGCTTTCATTTGTGCCTCAACTTGCTGATCTCCTTTGGTCATCTTTTCAATCTCAGCCATCAAAGAGTTCAATGTCTCCTTTGCTGCTGTAAGTATTGAAGCTTTGTCTTTCTACGCACGGAAAATTCAATTATTTACTCCCAGGAATTTATTTGAATTAACTTATGAATCAGAAGATTAATTATCTATATATGTAGGCTGGTGCGTGCCTTGGTTCCTGGAGGGAGTAGTGACCAAAGTGCCTGAAAATTCTGACTGAGTTTCTCACGTCTTCTTCGTTCTGATATCATATGAAGGAGCTGGGTACTAGTGGGACGACTTGCTTGATAACGCTCTCTCATCTTCATGTAATGTAAGCCTCTGAACAATTCAAATGATCTCTTGAGCAAACTTTGCTGCCTGCCCAAATTGGATTTGGAACAATCCATTTCTGAAGGCCTGTAACTCGTAAAAGCACAAGTTCCTTCTAGTTCTGGAGGTGTATCAGGCAGATTTTGCTGATGATGAAAGGCTAAATCATTAGAAGAAGAAGAAGGCGAAGATATAACATGAAGAATTGCTCTAACTATCGAGTCGTGTTCATTCTCTTGCTGCTGCAGCATTTCAGGCAACAGACGAGTGCCCAGAAAATTATTACCGAATAGGAAGGATGTGTTTTCGGGGCCGCTTGCCGTGGAAAATGATCTCAAGGAAGATGAAGAAGATGAAGAAGGTGGATTAATAATCCTCAGTTCAGCTGGATGGGACTGTCTAGAAAATTCTTCTGGAAACAAGTTCCTCATATCTGTTTGAATCTTACCACCCTGCACAGGGAAAAACAAACATATATATCTGAATCCAAACAATGAACAAATTGATTTTGGTAGAGCAATTATATATAATTTACTGACTTGATCAGAGACAACTGATGAGAAACCAAGCTCAATTTCCCCATTTCCACAACCTATGAAAACAGCTGTCTGTAAATAAGGAACATAGTATTAATGCTTACCATGCTTAGGTTTTCACTAAAAGAACTAGAAAAGGTATCTCTAGTTCAGCAACAAACCTTAATCCTTGCTTCCTGTAAAAACAGACATCATTAATGCGAGTTTTGTTAGCCAACAACATTACGGTGTGATGATATATTTGCCTAGTAAACGTGAGTGAATTACCTGAAAGAACCTTCTTTGTACATCTGTCCGCGCCAGTCTCAGGAGATCGGATTGTTGCAGCTCTAGGCAGGTGTACTGGTGGTTACGGAAAGCGAGTCCGGGAACGCCACTGATTTATAAAACAAGAAGCAAAAACACTCTTCAATTAATGCAAAAGAGACCGAAATCAGCGAAAATATTCCGATTTGCATAATCAGGGAACTAACTAATACAAGAGTAATCAGCCATACTTATCAGAAGCAGTGACATCAAATTCGAAACCCCTATATTGATCAAAAAGCCCCTGATCCACACTCGCCAAACCCAGAGAAGAAGAGACGGCTTGGTGATTCGGTGCGACGTCGTACAAACCATCCAAGAAGAGCAACCGACTGCGCAGAGTGGAATTAAAGATCAGAAAAATGAATAAACATTGACAAGTCCTGTGTGTGGGTGTAATTATACAGCGATTACTTGGATGAGGAACTGTAGGACCAGAGGCAGATATAAGCGCAGCCAAAAGTGTGACGTACTGATCGGAGGAATTCAAGTCTTTGGGCTTCGGAGAAGGAGAAGACGCTATCCATGGATGGAGTTGATGATGATGAAGCTAGGGTTTCTTCATTAATTAAGAGAGTACATAGTAGAAGTTGGTGCCAGTCACGTTAGGATATGTGAGAGTGAGTGGCTCTAACTTCGTTGTGAATATTCGACAAACACTTGGAATGTTATATATGGCAGATTAGGGAACATGGTTGAAAACAGCAAGATGACAGATCTGTGCGTGTGAAAGGGTGCTAGAGATATAACTGTTGAGGATTATAGAAGCAGGTGATGATTACGTGAAGCAGGTGATGATTACGTGCAAGGTGTGAAACCCCCATAAAAGAAGAAATTAGAGAAAATGAAAGGGCCGCCTGCAAATTCAAGGACGAAGCTATACTTAAGAGGGGAGAGAGATATTATAAAGCACTAAATGGGAAAGAAATGTCCTGTTGAAAAGTATATGGATTGGAAAAGTAGAGAGTCTTGGCCAAAAAAAGGGGAAAAAAAAACGAAAAGAAAAAAAGAAAAGAAAAGTAGGGAGTCAAAGTCAATGCATGAAATTTTGTTAACCACCCCACGAGCTTTCTTTTCACAATCCTTCTTTACTAAATTCTCTTTACTTCTAATCTACCCAATCTAAGCCATGATGCTCGGACTTTGATCCCTTCATTTATCAAAATAAAATTCATTTATTAATATCTATAAATTAATTATGCTTAACAAATTGTCAAATAATATTGAACTGGAATTGAACTCATCAACTGACTCAATTATTATTATTATTATTATTATTTTTTGGGTTCTAGCTGGCTAAGTAGTAAGCTAACATTTTTTTTACTGATCTCGTTGTGCCAAATTAAGTGGGTCGTCCCGCCGGATAAGACATGCGACTACACCACCTGCCGTGGTCCCTTCAAATCAAATCATCAAATGTTATTTCAAGCACGTAGACTTAATTATTTACTTTTATATTTTTATCAACGGGTCATTTGATCATTTTATTCATTTATTTTGATTCCATCAGCTTGGTTGAGGTTACTAATTAATTATCACTATTTATTCAGGCTAATCCAAACTCTTATTTTACAATACTATTATTATTAACAGTGACCTCACAAGTATTTCGGAAATATCTTTAATATTTTTTATTTAACACGACTTTATGTTTAGGATTTAAACTTAAAATCCTGATATATGTTGATTTAATTTTTTAACCAATTGAATCAAACATCTCTTGATATTTAGTCATTTTATGCTAACCAATTCATAATATATATACACTAAATCATTTGAATCAATGGCGGAGATACACAGGGGAGGGACCAGGGGAGCCATGACCCCCTAAATTTTTATTTATTTTTTTTTGTAAAATAAAAGAGTTATATATTTTTTGTCTTAAGATATATTTGTATGTATGGTACTAACAAAATTTAATTTCACCTCGTTAATAAACATGCAATGATATTTGAAAGAAAACTCCCTCATTAAAAAATGTAAGACATTTTTTGAGAGGTTAGATGTTAAAAAATATAAAACATTTTTAATTTTTTAAGGTGTAATTATTATCTTTTTTTTAAAGTGCTCGTATATTAAATAAATCACTTTATGTGTATTTTAGGGTGAAATGCCCTATTAAATAGGGATTAACATGAAAAAATAAGGTTAGTTAAAAGAAAATAACTACTTTATTAAGGTTAAGATTTAATTAAAAATGTCTTATATTTTTTAACATATAAATTTTTTCCCTGGGAGAATATATACTAAACATAAAATTTACTTTTTTTTTTCTGCAGTCATCCTAATCGTGTTCATATATTTATTATTGTTGTAAATTATCAATTGAATTAATTAAATAATAAATCTAGTGAACAAGCAACATAACTTTTTAAATTGAGTGCAACTTTAAATTATAAGAATACATTTAAATCATAGACAAACTTATTTTGAAATTTTGCTCTTCAAATTTTTCTAATCAAGACAAGATTTAATTAGAATATGAGCTTGATGTGCTCGAAGAACCTAACTTTCCAAACTTGACTACCGGAAGTGAATTCAATTTTTTGTATAGTTTGAAAAGTTTAATTATTATTTATTGATTATTTGTATGATATGAAGAATAGACTAGCAAACTTTAAAAAGAATGTACAGAATTATTTTGGTTATGTATTTGTAAAATTTAATATGAATATATTAAAAAATTTATGTTATATTAATTATATATATACCTTTTAAATTAGCATATGTATATAAATTAATTATATATATATATATGTAACTTTTTAATTAGCATATATATATATATAATCTTGGCCCATTGTATGATCGTGTACGTTATTAATTACATTTTGGAGCTGGAATTATTGTTCCCTAGAATCTAATTATTTTGGGTAAAATAATTACAAAAAAATGCACTAGCGTGTTCATGTATGTGTGTTTCACTCATCTTAAAAATATAATTAGAAAAAAATTATTTCGGCCTGATCAACTTTTTTAAAAAATAATTTTCACAATTTTAATTTCATTCGTTTGACTTAGTTCTTATAATTCTTTTTGGATAATTTCAATTTGTTTGTCTTTTATCATGATAACTAAAGCATTGAGTTTGATAGTACAAATAAAATAGAGTAATTATGACAAAAATAATTATCTCTAAATGATCTTACACACACTCTCTAATTTTTACTGTTTACGGAACAGTAAAATCAATAGTGTAGTGGCAATGCTTTGTTTCAATTATTTTTTAAATATTTTTTGTCTTGTTTATAGTTTTTTTCCAAATCATAATCGTTTCAACTCTCCATATCATAAATTAGAGAATATTCTTAAATTGTTTTTTTTAAGATATCATATTAACATATTTTTATTTTAATAATTTTGAAATTACGATTTAATTTTTTTTCTTGGATAATAAGTTCGAAAATAAAATAAGGTATTTATACTTTTAGTATGCACAAGAGTAATGAATTGTAAAAAAAATACAAAGTTATTACTAAAGTAACTTATCATGCGTTTGCTGCATGGATAACAAATAATAAATGTTTTGTTTTGAAACCAGATTTATTTTTTCCTGTAATATTTTTTTTTTTGTCCATAAGCCATGAAATCCCTTGAAAGTAAAACTTTGTTCATGTTTTTTAACTCTATCATCTAGAAAGTTTTATACGGGGAAAAACGGCATTATAGTATTTTCGATAAAATTCAATAGATTGTAAGCTCTTCAAATAAGTAAAATATATATTTATGTTTTATTTGTCTCAAGCTTATGTTGTGTAAAAATATATAAACACATTGGATGAGTGTTTAATTTCACTTCCAACTTTATATTTTGAGTTTTATTGGTTTATTTTCAAATTAGTTTCATATAAAGTATTACATTTTATGCAATTATTAATTGTGCATTTGTATGATTTCATTTTTTTGACTTATTATTCAAGATTTTCTCTTATTTTTCTGAGAATAATCAGGACTTCCTAAATTATGTTTTGCTCAAATTAAAGAAAAAGAAACATATGGATGAGATTTATTGTTTTGTGGGTTTCACATGAATGACTTTCGTTTTATTCTAGAAAACATCCGCGAGCTTCAACAAATACAAAGGTCTCCATTGCTCTTATTCTAGAAAAGACTGACAAAATTTATTAAAAAAAAAACAATTACAATGTATAATGACTCTAATAAAAATAGATTGTACATTTAATACAATATAAGAGTCACACTCTATTAAAGTACAAACTTTTCATAAAAATACATGCTCGCATATCATGTCTAAAGATAAATAAAAAAGAGATGAATCTTCCAGCTAATTAATCTTGTACATCACACGGGCCATTTTCTAATTATGGAAGAATATTAATATGCAAGCTTTATCTTTTTTTATTTTTTTAATATAGCTTGATGATGCCCAATAGATAAAGATCTAGATAGGGCTGTGGCTGGTCGGTCAGGTTGAAAAATTTATCACTGATCTAGTCCGAATAAGGGAGTGAGCTGCTTCAAAATAATTATTTTTTTCAATTTAAACCATGTTTATAAATTATGATTTATTCATACATATACCTTATAATTAAGCATTGAAAAAAATTGAGGACAAATTATGAGCAATAAATATGTAAAAATATTATATTATAAAACATAGCATAAATGTATATGTTATCGATATCTGCCGTAAAATTTTTACTTTAATATCACATGATACTAATTTGATATATATTTCATTTTTAAAATAGCCACTCGGTGTTGTTTCAATATCTTGATCACCAAAGCATGAATCAGTATCTTGATCGCTACCCAAGTGCTCGAAGAAGAAAAAGAAGGAAGGTGGAGCCAAATTGGTGTCCTATATATGAGCGGTTTAGATTAGCTTTAATTAAATATATTCAACATTTGGAATAAACTTATTAAAAAGTTTATTAAGAGGAATGTGTTTGCATTATTGTTGCGTGATTTGCAGCTACTACACGTGCCTTCCAAAAGGAGAAAATCACTAGTGAGTCCCATCTAAGGAATTCAATCATACTAAAGTCCCAAGAAATGCCCAAATGACTATCTAGTCTCAAAATGCTCGTGCAACTATAAAGATACTTTTACATTAATGTTTTTAATATATAAATATAATTCATCTACCACCATTGCCGAAACTCTAGTCAATCTCTACCGGATCTCTACCAGAGTTCTTTGCAGTCGGCTGGGGTTTCAATAATGGTAGAGGATGAATTATATATTTTTTTAACAAAATTAATATAAGGTATTTTTGTAATTGTACAAGTATTTGACATTTGGTAGTTATTTGGGCATTTCATAGGATTTTGGTGTGATTGAATTTCTTGGTTGGGACTTGCTAGTGATTTCTCCTTATCACTAGAAGCTAGAGATCGTGCAACCTCTTGCAAATGTTGCGTTTGAATGTAAAGAAATTTAAATTTAAAGTTTAGATTTGAGCTAAATTTACTATTTGGCTTAGTAAAAATTTATGAAATACATAGTTTATTATAATTTATTTGTAATAGATCTTCACATACCCTAGTTTTTTAAAATGCCAATCACTTTAGTCTTTTTGTTCTCTTCATGTTTTCATTTTCATCCTTTTTCATCTTTTCATTATCTTTGAATTAGAAATTTTTTATATTACCCTAATAAAGAATTTTGAATATATAAACATTTCCTATGATAATTTTATGATTGCACCTTGCAATCAAAACATTGCTTGAGCAATATTAGTTTATGTTGTCAGTAGAGTATACTTTTAATATCTTGCCCAAATTAAATATTAATAATTAATACAAAAAGAAGGAATAAAAAAAGTAAACACGTCTGGCGATAAAAGAGAATGAGTGAGAGAGTGAAAGGCAACAAGGAGGCATCTGGCGGTGACAAGGAGGGGAGTAGTGGTGGTACAGGAGGTAGAAATCCTAGAAAAGATTTTGTGTTCTCAAGTAAGAGGCAGATTCCAGATGGTCAGAATAACCTAGAGAATAGGAAAGACAAGAGTGCAACAATAACAAGGAGTTTGACTGGAGCTTCTTATAAGGAGTCATTATTGAACCTTAATTCTTCAGAATTCCTATCATACAAATATGTGAATGATGATATCATGAAGGGATGGAAGAATTATTTTATGAACCTTAATAAGAAGGAGAAGAAGGATGGAAAGGAGAGTTCAGAGGATGAAGAAGTCTTGCTTGAGCTTGGTAAGGTGCGATGTCCTGAACTAAAAGTGTCATCTAAAAAAATATAAGGAGTGGTGCTGGCCATAGATGAAGTCCTTGGTTGTTAAATTATTGGGTAGAACTATTCCTATTTGGTTCCTTCAGCCTAGACTGGTTCGTATGTAGAAATTGACCGCGCCTATGGGCATTACATCTCTTAACAATTGTTATTTTGTTGTTTCTTTCACAAAGGAGGAAGATTTGAACTATACTTATCAGGAAGGACCTTGGATGATTGATGATCACTACTTATTAGTTTAAAAATGGCAGCCGAACTTTAACCTATGGAAAACAAAGAGATAGTATAAGATTGTAGCTTAGATTCAGGTGGTGAACCTTCCCATGGAATTGTATAATATGGAATGCCATGTATTTAATTGGAAATGTGGAGGGGAAAACTTTGAGGATAGATCGCTCTACATCACTCTCAGATAAGGGAGGTTTTGCTAGAATATGTGGTGAGATTAATCTTAATCAACCATTACTTTCATTATTCACCTAGTGTAGAGAAGACTATAAGATAGCTTATAAAGGTCTTTACTTTGTTTGCTTTCATTATGGCAAATATGGCCACCATAGGGATGTATGTCCAAAGAAATTGGTTGACAAAAGTTTGATAGTGATAAATAAAAAATTGGCTCATTGCAAGCTGAAATAGTAAAGGTGAAAGGATTGGAGGATCAGGTTTCATCTTCAAAGGGGACTGAGAACACAAACATAGTTGCCGGCAAAGTTGAGATGCTTTTGACGGTGAGTGGTTTTGAGCCTGAAATACTAATTATGCATGATTTTAGGGGAGAATTATCAAGCAGGATATTAAGGGATCTCCTATTATTTCAAGGAGGACTTGAGAGGGAGATAAGGAGAAAAATATACAGAGAATAATTAGGAGTAAAGATACTAATAGTACACGTGGGGTTAAAAATACTAATAATACACGTGGGGTTAAAAAAAATAATGTCCCTAATGAGTTGCATGGCTCGCGTTATTTTAGGAAAGAATTTTCTAATCAAAATGGGTCTCAATGGGTGAGAAAAGGAAGGGTAGCTTAAAAATAAGGTAAAATCTAAGGAGAATATTCCTCTAAGTGAGAGAAGGATTTTGTCACGTAAGAAACAAAGTGAAGGAGTATTATCAAGTACTATTAATACTCATAAGTCTTTCTCTATTTTGAAGAGTCGGCTACCATAAGAAAATTTGCCTAGAGAGTATCAAAAAATAAATGAAAGTGGACCACTTAATGCAATGGATATTGGACTTGTAGCTAACTCTCAAAGTAACACAAATTAGGCTTCAACTTCTCATGTAAGTATGGGATCGCAGCCTTTTAATTTTGAGAATTCAAATGCTATGAGTATGATGTTAGGCCTAGGCAATTCTGTAGTTAATGAAGGTGCTCACAAAGACAAGGCAAAGGATCTATGCTTGAGAATGACATAGCCAAGGGCACTTCTGTAGAGTTGGGCCTAGGCCCTAAAGCTTGGTTACCCTAATTTTACCCTAAAATTGAAGCTCGACCTTATTCAAAGGGCTCAGAACCAGGCCCATAAGCCCTGATAGGAATAAAATAAAATTTAAAATTAAAATTTACTTAGAATATTTTAAAATTTAATATACACCCAACCAAAGTCTCACATAATCTAAAAAATAAACAAAAAAATTAAAAGTCTAAATAAGATGGAGGCAAACATCATCATCAATCCTAATCAAGATCTCTCTCATCATCATCCATAAATAAAATATTAGAACCCTTAGATGTAGGTCCACTCATGGAAGATAGAGGCGGAGACTTAATATCAACTATCTCTGCAGCTTCTTCATCATCACCTACAATAATTAGTAATTAAATTGTGTCATTATCAAATATATATATATATATATATATCACAAGATAAAATATAAAAATTATCATAAAATGGCACAAAACCATTCAACCAACTGCGGGTACAAATCAATGCTTGCACATTATCCGGAAGGAGGCGACAATAATACTTTATGAGAACACGAGAGCTGATGCTAAATGTCGATTCACTAGCTACTGTAGTGATCAGAATACTCAGAATATCACATGCCATCCTTGAAAGATTAGGAAAATCATTGTTGATTAGTCTTCCACCAATGCAACACATCTAACTCTGGAAACTGGTGACCATCAAGGGAAGCTTCTTTCAAATAATAATCTAATTCAGATTTTCCAATGGAAGAAGTATCCCTACTCTTGAAATTAAGGAAGTCCTACATATAAAAAAAATCCAAGTGTATCAAATAAGAAATTACAATTTATATACTAACAACAATGAGATAAAAACTTACACCATAAGCTTGAGTCCAAGACATGGTTGGTTCCCTCTTCTTTTCTAACATCCTTCCACTAGTGCTTGAGCTTGGTTGACTTTGTGTTAGAGTTGAACTTAGTGTAAGATTAATGGAAGATCCACCTATTTCTTTATATTGATCAAACATACAATACAACTTCTGCTTGATATTATCAACTTTCATGAAGTAATTTACAGGATCAATCAGTGAGTAAAAATACTTAATCACTTCAAGCTTTACTCGTGGATCAAAAACACTTTCAATAGAAAGGATTACACTATAGTCACTCCAATACTTGTCAAATTTCTCCTTCATTCTAACTGTCATACTAGAAATCACAGGATCACGATTGCTAATAGCTTCATTCAATAAAATCTCAATTTTTGACATTTGCCCAAAATACATATTTGAGGTAGGATAGGATGTGCCAAAAATCAAAGTTGTAATAATTGCAAATGGCTGTAAGAAAGTGCACATTTCCTCTGTTCTCCTCCACTCTTCATTTGACAAGCAATGTTTAAAGCTAGTATCATGACAAGACATGCAAACAAAAGCTCTTTTATACCTTATTCCACTTTCAAGCATATCATAAGTAGAATTCCATCTAGTAGGCACATCTAATCGCAATCCTATTGAGGTGTCAATACCTTCAACTTGCTGAATACATTTCCTGAAAGTCCTCATCCTGGACTCTGACATCTTGACATACTTAATGCTTTCTTGAATTTTATTTACTACAATATTTGTTACCTTCAAACCTTCTTGAACTATCAAGTTCAAGATATGTGTACAACATCTCACATGAAAAAATTTTGCATCACAAATCAAATTGTTTTGCAAAACCAACCTCTCCTTTAAGATTTCAGTCGTACAATCATTTGCAGATGTATTGTCTAAAGTAATTGTAAAAACTTTCTTTTAAATCCTCTATTCACATAAGCACTCAAAAACTTTGCTAGCCAATTCATGTCCAGAATGTGGAGGCTCCATCTTACAAAAAGAAAGTATTTTACTATTAAGTTTACAATTTTCATCTACAAAATGTGCTGTTAAGCAAATATAACTTTCAGATGTTACAGCAGTCCAAGAATCAGAGGTCAAACATATTTTACTAGGACTCTTTGACAAAATCACTTTCAACTTCTCTTTTTATAACTCATAAAATTTCCTAACATCTAACACAGCAGTTTTTCTACTCATAACCTTAACATCAGGATTACATTCCTTAAGCAACTTCCTTAAAAGAGGAAATTCAACAAAAGAATATGGCAAATCATGTTCAACAATCAACATCCCTAACAATTCCCGAATACGTGGATTATTGGTTTGTCTAGGTCTAACATTACCTTCATTATCTAATATCATCAAGCCTATGTTATAAAACTTTGGAAGAGCCATACACTGTTTAATATGTCGACTTAGATATGAAGTACCATGATTTTCACCACATGCTAACAAAGTACCACAACTATTACGCTTTACCTTTGTTGCTCCTTCTTCATTAACCACTTTAGAAAAAGATTTCCAAACATTTGAGGTACAACTTTTAGCTTTCTTAGGTGGTTTCATGTTGAATGTAGTAAATTGGGAGGGAGTTGATTCTTTATTACTTTCCTCCTCAACTAACTTCTTATTAGTTTCACTACTCTTGGCATTAGATAATGACATACTGTAAACAACCATAAGTCATATAATCAAGAAACCAAGGACAGTCGACAGAGTATTAACTAGAAATTTAAAGACAGAGCTATAACCAGGAATTATTACAACATAACTTGCCTAGGCACATTCAAAGTTATTACACGTTAATCAGGAATTACAGCATAATCGCCAGGTATATAATCAAGAAACCGAGACAGAGCGTTAACCAGATAGAAACTGAGACAGAAGCAGATTCAAAAAAATAGTTTGTAGACAAATAAAAACCGAGGCATGCAGCAAACTAAATGAAGCTATTCTTTCAAGTTGAAATCAAGAATCAGAAGTAGATCTAAATCAAAATCAGTGTTGAAATCGTACAATAGCATTTAAGAATCAGAATCAGAAGCTGAAATTGAAATAGAGGCAAACCTGAAATCGAGAATCAAAAGCAAAAACTTGAGAATCAAAGGCCACACTGTCGAGGTTGAGAAGTGAAAACTCGAGAAGAGATAAACTAAAGCATTGAGAAGTAGAGACTTGGATGCTCGACTGATGATGGCTTGAGGAGGAGAGACTGAGAGAAGAGAGAAATTTGAGATCAAGAGTAGAATAAGCGTGAGGCCGTGAGCGTAGAGTACCAAGTCCTAAGAATAGAGAAATTTGAGATCAAGAGTAGAGTACCAAGTCCTAAGAATAGAGAAATTTGAGATCAAGAGTAGAGTACTAAGTCCTAAGAATCTTGATTCAAGAGTCGAGACTGAAAGAGGGAGAGGGAGTCTGAGGCTCTGAGCTTGCCGGCTGATCTGCTGTCTGCGTGAGCGTGAGGCCGTGAGCGTGATTGCGTGAGACGGTGAGAGACTGAGAGCAATGTTGACACCGTGAGTTTGAGCTGAGGGTTTTCATCTTCTCCAATGACCATGACCGTGACTCTATGTGCTGTGCCTGTGTGGTGCTTTTTGAGAGAGGTAAGGGAAAAAAAATAAAACGGGCTTTACGGGTCGCCTGAGCTCGAGCCCATTTTTTAAGGGCTTAAAAGGGTTGGGCTTCAAAGCCCTGTTACCTTAAAAAATGCCAAATTTTCAAGCCCGAACCCTTATTAAAATGGGCTTAAATGGGCAACCCGTCAAGCCTGGCCCTTATTCCTGACTCTACACTTCTGCCTAACTCTTATCACCAAGGTGTTAATGAATTGCCTCATTTAGAATACGAGAGGCACTGGGGCCAGAACGCTTCTTAGTCTCATTCAAGAGTTGACCCAAAAACATAAACTAAAATTTATTGCTATTTTAGAAACACATTCCAATGGGTCAAGAGCTGTTGCTTTGGCAAAATTTATAGGTTTTAAAAAGATGCATATAGTTGATGTGAGAGGTTACAGTGGTAGGTTGTGGATGCTGTGGAATGAAGAAGATTTAAATCTTGATGTTATTGAGAGTCATGCTCAGTATATCTACCTCAGACTTGCTTTGGGTACTAAAAATTATTTTTAACTGCTATTTACGCTAGCCCATCCTTGTTAGTCATAAAGTTGTGTGGCATGATCTTAAATGATTGAGTCCATCTATTAATAAGCTATAGTGTATTGGAGGAGACTTTAATAGAACACTTTATTCTCATGATCATTGATCTTTAAGGAAGAATACCAACTCAATGGATCATGATTTTAAAAGGTAGGTTGAGGAGGATCTTTTTGATATAGGTTGCTCTGGTCCTTTCTATACATGGTAAAGGAAGAATTGTGAAAGCAGGTTGGATAGAATTTTATTTAATGATCGATGTGCAAAGAAGTTTCAAAATGATAAGGTTATAAACCTTCCTTTCTTTAAATCTAACCATTGTCCTGTTCTTTTAAAATTCTATGAGGATGAGAGTGATACATTATATCATGAAAGGCCATTTCATTTTAAGGCATCTTGGGTGCTTTATAGTGATTTTGGTCACTTTGTGAAGGAAAAATGCAAAGAATCTGAAGCTTAGAATATAAATATGGCTTTATTTCCTGAAGAAATTAATATCTAGAAAAAGAAGGTTTTTGATCATTTGGGTCGAAAAAATGTCACCTTAATAGAATTGAGGGTCGAGTAAAACAATTCAATCTGGTTGTAATTCACAAGCTGCTGAGGAGTTGCAAGCTAAGCTTTGGCTAAAACTTGAAGAAGTTTTAAATCAAGAAAGCCTTCTCTGATTTCAAAAAGCTAAGTGTGAGTGGTTCCAGTTTGGTGACAGAAACTCTAAGTATTTTCATGCAAGGGTGAATGCTCGAAGAAAGAGAAATAGGATTTCATGCTTACGAAATGATGATGGTGATTGGATTTATGAGGTAGAAGATATTCAATAGTTGCTCTTTCATTTTTTAAAAATTTGTTTGAAGTAGAGAATGAAGAGAAACAGAATCTGAGTACATCTACGAGGTTCCTTGAAATCAATAGATCTATGTTAGATGATTTGGCAAGAAATTTTTGAGATGAGGAAATCAAAAAAGCTATTTTTAATGTGGGTGGACTTAAATCCCCTGGACCTGATAGTTTTAATGTCCTCTTCTTTCAGAGTCAATGGGAGCATGTTAGGGGCTCTGTTTGTAATTTGGTAAAACAATTTTTCTCTATTCCATAAATTATTGGAGATATCAATGGGACACATATTGTTCTTATCCCAAAGAAGGAGCAGCCTAAGACAATTCATGATTTTCGACCTAGTAGCCTTTGTAATGTTATTTATAAAACTATTACTAAATTTGTTGCTAATAGAATTAAGCGGTTTCTTCCTGACATTATTTCTCCAAACTAGAGTAGTTTCATTCTAGGGAGGCCTAGCTCAGATAATATTATTGTGGCTCAAGAGGTCATTCATTGCATGTGGAAAATGAAGGAAAAGAAAGGATTTATGGCAATCAAGATTAATCTTGAAAAGGCTTATAATCGACTCAAGTAGGATTTTGTTCTTTCTTTTCTTAATGAAATTGGAATCCTTAAAGATTTACTTAATATAATTAAGTACTGTTTGAGTACATCTAGTTTACAAATTCCTTAGGAAGGTACGAAAACTGAAGAGTTCTCTCCTTCACATTGACTTCATCAAGATGATCTTATTTCTCCTTATCTTTTTGTTATTTGCATTGAGAAGCTAGCTCACTTAATTCAAGATGACATTGGAAAAGGAAATTGGAGACCTATCAAACTTAACAAGGATGGGCCACCACTTTGTCATTTGTTCTTTACAAATGATCTTGCTATTTTTACTGAAGCTACAATTGACCAAGTTGAGACTATTAATAATTGTCTAGAGAAGTTTTGTGTGGCATCGAGGTAGAAGGTTAGCAAGGGAAAGACATAGGTATTCTTCTCCAACAATGTTCGCTACATAAGAATGCAGTAATTGAGTGAGTTATTAGAAGTTCCTTTCACTTTTGACTTAGGAAAATATCTGAGTATGCCTATGCACCATGCACGTCTGATGAAAAATACTTATAATTATGTGGTTGATAAGGTGAAGTCACAATTAAGTGGGTGAAAGGTAAATAAGATCTCCTTTACAGGTAGAAACATATTTGTATTCTCTATTCTATCCTTTATTCCTATGTACCCTATGCAAACTACCTTACCCCCTGTGTCTATATGTGAAGAAATAGAAAAGAAGTCTTAGGATTTCTTATGGGGCTCTGTGACTAAAGCAAAGAAGATTCATCCTGTCTCTTGAGATAAGGTTTGTAGAGAGAAGAAGAGAGAGGGGCTGGGATACGTAATATGTATACTCAAAACCAAGCTTTTTTAATGAAAGTAGGTTGGGGGCTCATTCATAAAAAAAGAGGCCCTTTGGACCCATGTTATAAGGAGTAAATATAAATGTGGGGCTAATCTTATTTCGAAAGTAGAGTGTAAACGACCTGGCTCATGACTCTAAAGTGGAATTAAGAAAACTTAGGATCTTCTCCAGACTGGAATAGAATGATGTACTATACAAAATGGGCAGGAAATAGTAAGGTGGAAGCATGAGAAGTATGGTCACCTTTATGTTAAATCAGTATATTCTATATTAAAGGAGGATGAGTCTCATGCTTC